CGAGACAGTTAGTAACGAAGGGCGGGCTATCTAATTTCCCATGATTAATGGTTTCCATATGCTCAGGAGATGCATAGAAAAAGACAACTGACAACAGGCAGTAAATTATATCCCAGCCTTCAAGGAGTATTTCCAAAAAGCATTGACTGAGGCCAGTGATATTTCAGTCTTTAGGATGAGTGAATATAAAACAGCCTAATCGAGATACGTTCTTTTTTAAAAATTGTAATTTCTATCTAACTGATGGGGAATTGTGAAAATTAGGGGCTCATGCATCAGAGGGCTCCATGTTTTGAGCTGTTGGATACAATAAATTTCTTTTCTCCAGCCGGGTCCTGTTTATAAAACGTTTGCATTCGTGCTATATTTTGTATCGAGGTACATTTTTTTTATAAAAAAAGAAAGCTTTTCTTTTTTATAGTAACAACTGGATTTAAGGTCCGATTACAAGAAGTTAAACTATTTTAAGGCTTCTGATGGAGGACCACAGATATGAGGTATAATTTTAGGGGTACATTTGTCGTGTCTGGAGGTCAAAGTTGGTTAAGGTATGAGGTGTGACAATTTATGGGATTAGCAAATGTATTTTGTTACACACCTGTCCCAGGTAGACAGTAGGTGTGCTCAAGAAGGATCATCAAAAAGCTGAAACGTTTCTTTCACCCGTTTCAGAAATGTGAATTTTTTTTATGATTGGGACATCAGCTTGCTATAAAGTGGATCCGTTTTATTGTCACAGGTCAATGCGCCACAATACACACCTAAATGAATGTGTTCATATTTATTTCAGATTGAATGATTTGAAAAAAAAAGAAAGCTAAACCTGGGTTTCTCTTGCCCATGATCAGAAATTCGTTGATTTTTGAAATTGCAGGGTGACTTTCTTCAGATTCCATTCAGGCATTGCTTGGAGGACAGTTGAAGGTGTTAATTGTGGTTTTCAGTGCCCGACAATATACGAATTGAAAGCTTGACCTTTTGGGAAGTAGAATGCAATAAAGAGGTTAAACACAAGGGCAGCTGTTTCATCCTGACTGTATGAATGCTCTCTTGTGTAATGCATGTCGCAGGAAGAAACTTGTCTGAACTTCATTTCCTGTCACAATAGTGGTGAGAATGCATGGTGTGTGCTTGGTGTGCACGAATAAAATAAATTCAGTAAGCCTTAATGAACTAAATATCTTCATTTAAAGGCTAAAACATATGAAGAATAGTTGCAAGAATGGGATATGTCTAGTATAGGGTTTCCTGCCTGAGCAGGGGGTTGGACTAGATGACCTCCAAGATCCTTTCCAACTTTAATTATTATTATTATTATTGATCATTGCATAGTCAGCCAGATATTCAGACTGGATATGGCATTTTTGTTTACCTATCGAATCCTTACCAAGGACCTGGGATAGGCAGATGTGGATGTTTGATGGTATTACAGATATCGTCGCAGGATGGAAGCAGTTCCTAGTAAGGCCGCCTTTTGCAATTGACTAATGGCGAATTTGTCAATGTCAATGGTGTTCAAGTGGCGCTCCAGTTGTTTTGGGATTGCACCCAAGGCGCCTATTACTATTGGTACTACCCTTGCTTGCTTTTGCCACAGTCTTTCTATTTCTGTTTGTAGGTCTTTGTGTTTTGTTATCTTCTCCAGTTCTTTCTCATCTATTCTGCTGTCTCCAGCACTGCCACGTCCACAGACTTTTTTGTCTTTCTTATCGACAGTTGTTAAGTCCGGGGTGTTATGTTGCAGGTGCTTGTCTGTTTGAATTCTGAAGTCCCAGAGCAGTTTAATTTTATAATTTTCTGTGACTTTCTCTATTTTATGATCCCACCAGTTTTTGCTTACAGATGATGATGATGATGATTATTGTTGTTGTTGTTGTTGACATCCGTTTAAAATAGCAGACCTATTTTCAAATTGGGTTTGAAAGGTGCTAAACATTGTTCTTAAGTTACATTTATTTGTACCCTGTCTTTATTAGTTTTACAAATAATTCAAGGCGGTGAACATATTCACATATCTTCCTCCTCTTACTGGGTTGAGAGAGAGTGACTGGCCCAGAAATACTCAGTTGCTTTTCATGGCTAAGCGGGACTTGAACTCATGAGCTCTTGCTTTCTAGCCCTTAACCAATAGAGTGGCGGTTCTCAACCTGTGGGTCGGGACCCCATTTGGGGTCGAACGACCATTTCACGGGGGTCGCCAAACAACGCAGTCCACCATTTTTTCCCCCTTTTCCTTAGCTGTGCTACTCCCTTTTATTCTATTGGCTTTTGAAAGCCAATAGAATAGATTCTCTTGAATAGAGTCTAATTCTATTGGCTTTCAAAAGCCAATAGGAATTGTCCAGGCTGTCTCTGCCCTGCTGAGCCCGCCAAAAGTCCCATTCTGCAAACGGTGTTGCACCAGTTGAGTAGTCCTCGACTCACGACCGGTTGAGTAGTCCTCGACTTACGACCGGTTGGGGGTCGCGGCATTAAAAAGGTTGAGAACCACTGCAATAGACCAAACTGGCTCTAATAATTTAGTATAAGCCAATATACTGAATTTTCCACTGTTTTCTATTGGTCTGTGTTGATATAAGTCCAATCTGGCTACGCCAGCCTAAAATTTAATTTTATAACACTGTTCTAAGTGAAGTTAACCTCAACAAATAAACCTCTTCTGAATTATCCCTTATCTTAAATTTAAGGACAAAAAGACTTCATCACATCTTCTTATTCCCCATGTACAGCAGAATACTAAGGCCATGGACTTATTTTTAATTACAATTTCTGGACAGGGAAGCTGTCCACCTTACATCCTGATTCTATTTCCTGTTTACTTTAAATAATTTTGCATCTGCATCATGAAAATCGCGTCATCCGGCTTCTTGGGAAGTCAGCCTAAACTTCCTTCCGTGTCTCCAGCAGAAATTGTCAGCTGTTGCACTTTCAGAGAAAAACCTTCTGGATAACTGCTAGCCGGATTCATATTTGGCCCGAAATAATATGGAAGTCAAAAATGTTTTAGTTTATAGGATGCTACAGAAACCCAGTCGTTGTGGCTTGAGAATCACGACATGCATGCAAGTTTGTTGCACGAGGCTACCCGATTACTAATCTATAAAAACATGGTTAATAAGTCCTTGGTGCTCTCTGAGTTTGGTGGTTTTCTTCCAGACGTTTCATGACCCAACTAGGTAACACCATCAGTGGTAGAAGGGAGAGGGGTTGTATTGTATATAAGCAAAGAGCAAATCACACTATTTTGTAGCACTGATGACGTTACCTAGTTGGGTCATGAAACGTCTGCAAGAAAACCACCAAGCTCAGATAGCACCAAGGACTCCATAAAGGGGAAACTGCACCTAACTAAACCCAATGTTCCCATTTCCACTTCTGGTATGGCACTTATGGAGGGATAAATTTAAAACCCAAAGTGCTAAAGTGGCCCTTATTTGTGTGACTTGCTAATTAAACAACACAGTAGCTAGAGAAACCCTATTGATGTAGTCACAGGCAGCCTTGCGTGTTATGAGAAAGGTCTGCCGTAGCTTCACAGGGGCACACATGTCCCTGTTGTGTCCCCCACCCTTCGTGTGCATGGCAATTTAGCTTATGAAGCCCTCCCTACATTGTGATGTGAACCAGGAGTCAATCTGTGTACTGATTACAAGGGCTTATTTATTATTTATCCAGTAGGTTCCAGTTCCCCCTTTGCTATGGAACTCACGGAAGGATCTGGGCAAGGGATTCTCTCTTAGCCAAGCCTACCTCGCAGGGCTGTTGGGAAGAAAGCTGTAGAAGAGGGACTGCTGGACCTTTTGTAAGCTGACAAGTAAAGTCACTCAACAACTTTGGGCTCAGTTGTGGTCGTTAAGTCCAGGATTACCTGCTGTACAGGCGATCCTCCTTTTACGACCACAATTGAGCCCAATATTTCTGTTGTTAAGTGGGACACTTGTTTAAGTGAGTTTTGCCCTCCTTTACGACCTTTCCTGCCACAATTGTGAAGTGAATCATTGCAGCTGTTAAATTAGTAACCCGGTGGTTAAGTGAATCTGGCTTCACTTGACTTTGCTTGTCAGAAAGTGCAAAAGGGGATCACGTGACCCCAGGACACTGTGACCGTCATAAATATGAGTCAGTTGCCAAGCGTCTGGATTTTGATCACGTGACCTTGGGGGAATGCTGCAACGGTCGTTAAGTGTGAAAAATACTCATCATTTTTTCAGTGCTGCTGTTACTTTGAACAGTCACTAAATGAACCGTTGTAAGTCGAGGACTATCTCTATATCCCAACTTTAGTCCTGTGCAAAAGGTGGGACGTGAACCCAGGAAGCGCATAAAGAAATCAAGACCTCCTGTGCATTGCATTAAAGCCTAGCCCACCCCCACCCACCCCTCTGCGAGGCTCACTGAAAAACGCATCTTTGGTGGCATTCACACAACGCTCTTGACCCGGGTTGGCAGAGCACCTTCAGGACTGGGCTGCATGCAAGATGGCAAAAGGGGTCCCAGGTGAGCTCAGCCCTCCAACCCCCCTCCAGCATCAATCGCAACCTCGGGAGATGAAGCCATGCCCGTCTGAACCCGGGCCAGGCTTCCCTGGCCTTTCAAGGCTGCCGCCCCCCCTCCTCCTCCCGCACCACAATGGTACATCCCAGAGCCCCAGATCCGAAACGGTAGGATGAGCCCATTCCCAGGGACTAATGTAGGGGTGGGCAAAAAGGAAGCTCTCCCGCGGTACGGAGAGAAGGCGGGACTAGCGGCCGAGCCAATCCGCGGGCACCGGCCGCCGCCGCTCGCCAATGGCGGCGCGGCGCGGCCTGAGCCACAGGGCGAGGGGCGGCGCCCGGCGGAGGAGACTTGCGCTTGCGCGCGGGCAAGGCAGGCCAGCAGGGAGGGAGGGAGGATCGGACCGTTCTGTCCTTCGGCTTTGGCGGCGGAGAGCGAGAGAGAGAGGGAGGGAGGGAGCGGCCGCGGCGCGGAGGAAGTCGGGGGGCCTTCCCGTCGGGGGGGGGAAGAGGCTCGCTGAGGAGGGGCCGGAAGTTGGGGCGGCGGCGGCGGGAGCGGCAGGCGAGCCGGGCGGCTCCTCAGGCTGGGTCGCCGGCGGCGCTGCTGCTGCTGCGGCGGCGGCGGCGGAGGATGGAGCAGGAGGAGATCCTGAGGCGCTTCATCCAGCGCGTGCGGGCCATGAAGGAGGCCGCCGAGCGCCACGGGGAGGACAACTTCGCCGCCGACTTCATGGTACGTCGGGAAGGGGGGGGGAGAGAGAGAGAGAGGGAGGGAGGGAGGGAGGAGGGGGCGGGGAGAAGGGCGGGGCCGGCTCTCTGCGGGAGGGGGGAAGAGGAGGAGGAAAGGGGGGCTCCTGCGCAGGGATGCTCGCGCCCCCCCCGGGGAGGGAGGGGGAGGGTCAGGCAAGGGGGGAGGGGGAGGGTCAGGCAAGGGGGGAGGGGAAGGGGGGCGAGGGCCGCCCGCTCTTCCCTTCCCTGCTTCCCCTGCTTGGCGGGCGAACAATCGAGCGGCGGCGGCGGCTGGCAGGGTGTGTGCCGGGATGGAGCCTCCCCGGGCGGGAGATGGGCTGCCTGGAAAGGCCCCTGGGCGCCCCTTTCCCTCCCCCCTCTCCCCCTCTCCTTTCCTTCCTTCCCTTTTTGTCCCTCCCCCTCCCTCCCTCCCTCCCTCTTTCCTCCTTTCATCTCCCCCTTCCTTCCCCCCTCCCTCCCCTTTTCTTTTTCTTTCTTTCCTTTCACCTTCTCCTCCCTCCTTTCTCTTCTTTCTTCCCTCCCTCCTTCCCACTCACCCCCCTCTTTCCTTCTTTCATCTCCATTCCTTCCCTCCCGTTTTTCCTTCCTTCCTTTCACCTTCTCCTCCCTCCCTTCTTTCCACCTCTTCCTTCCCTCCCACTCACCCCCTCCTCCCCTCTTTCCTCCTTTCATCTCCACCTTCCTTCCCTCCTCCTCCCCCTTTTCTTTTTCCTTCCTTCCTTTCACCTTCTCCTCTCCCTTCTTTCCACCTCTTCCTTCCCTCCCACTCACCCCCTCCTCCCCTCTTTCCTCCTTTCATCTCCACCTTCCTTCCCTCCTCCTCCCCCTTTTCTTTTTCCTTCCTTCCTTTCACCTTCTCCCTCCCTTCTTTCCTTCTCTTCCTTCCCTCCCTCCCTCCTTCCCACTCACCTCCTCCTCCCCTCTTTCCTCCTTTCATCTCCACCTTCCTTCCCTCCCTCCCTCCTTTCTTTTTTCCTTCCTTCCTTTCACCTTCTTTCCCCCTCCCTCCCTGCCGTCCCCCTCCCCTTGTTGTCCTTCCCTCCTTCCTCTCTTCCTTTTTTTCCTCCTCCCTTTTTCTCTTTCCCTTTCCTTTTCCCTTCTTCCCATTTCCCCCAGTGGGGAAATGCCCACTGCCCATCAAGGTGGGCAAAGGAACAGCAAAGTCTTTTTTTAAAAAAATCTTTCTCCGGACTGGTGATGTCATTCTTCCCAGGGCTTTGCATCTTTCCTCACACTACCAGGCTGTGTTGGTGAGACTCTTTCCAGGTCTTGCCCGCCTTCCCTCCCTAGCTTTGAAGGGGATGGGGGCCTTTTCTCGCTCGTTGCCCTCTCCTCCTCCTCCTCCTCCTCCTCCTCCTCCTCCTCCTCCTCCTCCTCCTCCTCCTCCTCCGGCCGCAGCATTTTCCTTACCTTTTATCTCTTTTTTTAGGAGACTGGCGGCCCCTTTGGCTGTAGGTCTTACCCGTATTTAGCCAAACAACTGGTTGCAGCTCCCTCGTCTTCAGATGTATTATTTTTACATCCCCTTGGCTATATGGACGTGATGGGCGACATCCGTTCCGATAGTGGTGCAGTTCCTTTTAAGGATCAGCCTAAGTGCATCCTATGGATGTGGAGAGAGTAACCCGTTTCTTCTTGCCTTTTCTGGTTCAGAAGATAGAAATTTTCGAAGCAAATGTCCAGCTGGGGGGGGGGGATGTTGTGAAAGATCAAAGGAGCCGTTGAAAGTTGTGTCAGGTTTGAGACGCGGAAGGGGAAGTGGATTTAGGAAGTCATTTCCTCCTCCTCCTCCTCCTAATTTAGGAAGGCTTGGAAAAAAGAATGACTCTTCGGGCTGAAAAGATCCCATTGTTTCTCAAGCAAATAATTAAAAAAAAAAAAAAGGATCTAGAAAACCCAAGCCAGATCTAGCTTTTAAAACTTAACTCTGAGGTTATCTCGGTGCACGTTCTCCCAGCTGTCAAGACGGTTTCATAAATTTGGAATATGTGTTGCACAAAGTTAAGAATGTTATGGCTGCTGTGTTTCGTCATAGCTCTTGCGCTCTGCCTGTTGTTGTGAAACGAAATGTGCAAATCCTTCTGGTTCCGATAGAAGGGAATATATGGAGCTCTGGAGTCCCTGGTGCTCTCTGAGCTGGGCTAGTTGCTGGCAGACATTTAATCACCCAGCTAGGTAATGCCATTGGTGCTAGCGAGTGTGGGGTTTGCTCCCTGTATAAAGTTACAGGTAGTCCTCGACCATAATTGACGTTTTTTGTCACTGAGACATTTGTTAAGTAAGTTTAACAACTGGCCACAGTTGTTAAGTGGATCTGGCTCCCACATTAACAAGTGGAGTGGTCGCATGACCCCGGCACGCTGCAAGCGTCATAAATATGAATCCATTTTTGATAATGTGACCCTGGGGATGCGGCAAAGTGTGAAAAATCATTTGAAGTCACTTTTTTCCCCACTTTGAACGGTCACTAAATGAACAGCTGTAAGTTAAGGACTGCCTGCAGGCTGTTTACTGTAGGAAGCTTAAGTAAACGAACTTGGAAATTGCAGCCAATTTCTAGAAGTCGCAGCAAGATTCCATCCTAATTGTACTTGAAATACAGAGTATTTATTAAGGTATTGCCTGTTACCAGAGCAACGTATGTTGAAAAATAATGTTGAAAGGAAGTTTGTTTTTATTGATGAATTTATATTCTAAGGAGTAAAAAAAAAAATTAAAAGGGAATTTTGTTTAGGCTCATTGCCTGCAAATTTGTTTTGACCTCTGAATTACTGCAGTCCAGATGTAAGCTTTGGAAATGTGTAGCGAACATTACGTATTTTACTGTGATAAAAATTTTCTTGTAAGAGACCTGCCACAAATAATATGTGAAAATGGGAGGGGGGGGGAGAGGTGTTTTATCTGTATTGATTTCATAAACTCCCTTTCACCCAATCGCTTTCCAGCTGTATTAAGCTTATGTAGCAAAACCTCAATTTAATGGGCCATTTGGAGGGCTTGTCCATTAAATCCAAATTTATTTCTCTTACATCCGTTTGCATCAATTACACAATTATGTAATTGACATTAATGGCATCATTTGCAATAAAGCCTCTATTTAATGGACAGGTCTTTGATTTAATGGCTATTCATCCATGAAAGACAGATGAAGTTTGAATGATTGATCTGTTGTATCCTACTGCAAAAAATGAGGTCTGGTAAATGTGAGGGTTTGCTACACAGGCGTGCGTTTTCAGTCAATCTAAATTTCTAACCTTCAAATAGATTTAGTAAGGTAGGTTTGCTCCAGTCTCTCCTGCATTAGGTAAAGCCCAAGGAGTTGAGTCTTCTCTGTTGCAACTGACTTGTCCAAGATTACTGGTAAGTCCTTGACTTACGGCCATAGTTGAGCCCAAAAGTTCGGTTTGCTACGTGAAACATTTGTTAAGTGAATTTTTGCTCCGCTATGCGACCTTTTGCGCCACTGCAGTTGTTGTTAGTACCCTGGTTGTAAAGTGAATCTAGCTTTCTCATTGATTTTGCTCATAGGAAGGTGATGACATGACCCCGGATCACTGCAACCGTCATAACTATGAGTCGGTGGCCAAGCATATGAATATTGATCGTATGACTGGGGCTACTTCAATGGTCATCAGTGTGAAAAGCCATAAGTCATATTTTTCAGTGCCCTTGTAACTTTGAATGGTCACCAAATGGACTGTCCTAAGCCAAAGTCTACCTGTAGCTTCCATGCTGCTAGTATCTTAGTAGAGGCATTAAAAGTTGGCTTTTTCAGAACATCCTAGTGCAGTGTTTCTCAACCTTGACAATTTTAAGGCATGTGGACTTCAACTCCCAGAATTCCACAGCCAGCAGGCTGGCTGTGGAATTCTGGGAGTTGAAGTCCACATGCCTTAAAATTGTCAAGGTTGAGAAACACTGTCCTAGTGGATAGTAGGACCTAGTGGCTATTAGACTTTCCCCCCTATCCTCTTTGGCTGTTTTTGTTCTCGGTGGCCTTAATGTCAGTAACGTCGGTTGTTCTCGTTCGGTTTAGTTTATTTAATTTTTATCATATTTGAGAGACAGTTTGGTGTAGTGGTTAAGGCATCAGGTTAGAAAATGGGAGATGGTCACTTCTTGCCCTGCCTTAGGCATAAAAGCCAGCTGGGTGACTTTAGGCCAGCCACCCAGGTGTTTGTGAATTCTAGTCCTCCCTTAGTACTGGAAGTTAGCTGGGGGAGTTTGGGCCAGTCACTTTCTCTCAACCCAACTCACCTCACAGGGTTCTTGTGGAGAAAAATAGGAGGAGGAAGGCGTATTAGGTACATCCCTCACCTTGAGTTACCTTCTGAGGTAATAAATGCGGGATAAAAAAATCTAATAAAATACTTATCTTTTAAGCGGTTCACCGTAAGAAGGGAATATAAAGCCAATCCTCCTGGATTGGGTGATGCGCGATGCCCAGTTAGTAAACACACATTTCGATTTCCCAGGCTTTAATGCAATGGATTTTGTACCAAACGGATTACTGTGGTGACTACCTACTTTGTGTAAATGGCAGGTGTTACGTGGATGATGTTGTGTGCATCGCCACAGCGATGTAGATTTTTGCACAACATACCGACTCACGAATTCGCCCTTCTGTCTGCATTTGTGTTGAGCTGCGAACTAGGCAAATACATTTTAGTTTCGGGGTGACCTTCTGCAATTTTTTTTTTTTAAGGCCTCGAAAGAAGTCAAATGCGATGTTTTATTCTAGGGCTTTACCCACTTGGGAAAGTAAACTGACTGCATGTTCAAACTGTCTGGGCTTCGTTCCATTCAGCCCTCTCTCCCCTTTGGATCGTGTTCTTTTATTAGACCTGCTTTGAGCCTTTTTGTACTTACTAGTTGAAGTTCCTATAAGCATGCTTTTAGAAATCAATTTCTGTTGAATTCTACAGTATATAATTTTAGGGTGATGTTTATGCACGCAATGGGCTGCTCGTGAGATAATTTAGT